TTGCCAGAGTAAATGGCCGATATCACATACAAAGACGAGAAGATGATCCCAATTATTACAGTGGTGTATATAGTCACGAACATTGGCTTCCCATTGTCAAACGCATTCCTCCACCCCATTGTTTCGCTTTTGGGATTTGTTTGCTTGTTATCCGTGGCAAAAAAGTTTCCATACGAGAAGGGAAGATTCTGACATAATTGATTCAACCGTTGATTATGAAATAATTGACTAATTAAAATGTTGATTATTCTATCTTGTATTTGGCAGGTGAACAGACTCTTCCTTCATATTCTATTTCATATTTTGTGTTTACCATTTTGCCCTCGTATATTAACGAATCATCTGTTTTAGTACATTTATTTCTCAAGGGCATTAAGGAACTTCAAAAAATTTAACCCTTCTTTTGTCAGATTGGTAAGAAGATAATAAAAGTGACTTATGAAAATTAAATACCTAAAACCCACAAATTATGGATCCTATTTTAGCTTAGTTTTAATCTTTTAAATGTTTCCATTTTTGAATCCTTTTGGAAATATTAAATTTGTTACGTTCCACGTCAATTTCTTCGTTACATGCCACTATGTGACAAATGTAGTTCTTATCCCTGACAATATTTACACAAATTTGATGTTTTAATTAGGAATTTAAAAAAAAAATGTGAAAATTTTGAGTCTTTGTTTTAAAGGTGATGTTTCAACTTTAAATTCTTTGGATTGAAATTTAAATGACGTGGCATGTGGGGAGTGAAAGTCAAGCAGATCTTAGTAGAGAAAATCAAAGCAGAAGATCTAAATCCTATTTTTCTTCTAATTTCTTCGATCGGCACCTGATTCTCATCCTCGTGGGAGCACCCCTCCATTCAAAGACATAATATAATAATGAATTAAAAGTTATTAGTAGATTCAATCAATAATAGGAAGCTTTTATTTTAAGACATTGTATAGTTTACTAATTTGGAAGATAGGAATACAATTTCACATAATTAGTATAAGTCCAAACACCAAAAAGTACGTGGTACCTATTTTTACAATAATGTAATTAAAAAATATTAAAATTACACACAATGCCACTACTTCGAAGTTATATCAAATGTCCACGTGTGCGCCATTGCAATCGCCGCCGCCATTGTTGCCATTCTTGCGCCACTTTCAACACCTGCTTAGCCATCGCCTCATCCCAGCCACCACCAACATGCCCATCGCCAGCCAGCACCTCCCGGCTAGCCACTCGTTGGCAACCAACTATGTTGCCCTCAACCTAAAAAAACTACAAAATTTAGTGTGCATGAAGAGACTCAAACCTTGACCCTTAAAGGAGGAAAGCCTCATTCACAAACCACTTCACCAACCTTGTTTTTGTGGTATTTTGTCAGTTACATAATATTTATATTAACAATCAATGGTTTCTTTTTTAAAAAAAATTTATTTCACAACTGGGCCTCCTCTTTGGCCTAATTCAAAACAAAATTTTATTCCTAGATATTAAAATCCAAATAAAAATACTCTACGTCTCAAATCCTAATTAGTTGTTATGTCTAATACCTAATTTCTAATTTTTCGTTATTGTATTCAATCCTGATGTGGCCTTCCCAAAGTGAGCTCCAAATTGATATTCCATGATATATATGGGACTTCATAACTTAAGCCTTTTGGATACATCATGTCCTCCCGAAAACAATATATACATATAATATGCATACAAATATGATGAATAAATAAAAGATGGAAACATGATTTCCTTTATTTTGTTCAGTTATTCCCATGATATATATACAAATGACAACTTTTAAATGAATATTTCAAGGTTATATATGTGCGTATATATATATATATACAGAGAGTTTCCATTGAGGGATCTCTCAAATTAGCTTATTTGAAGGACACCCTTGTAGGGCCCACTCCACATTGAATTCGCTAATCCAAACTGTCTATGTTTTAGATAATCATTCAAAGATCATCTCTACAAAAAATCACTTGAATCCGATATCATTTGACCACTCAATTGAGTTATTGAAGTTTTAGCACTTTCTTGAAGTACTGTATTCATTGATTTTGTAGGATACAATTGGATGTCGAAACGGTTTTCGATTTGTCTAATTTTTTGTAAGGATGATCTATGAATGAAGACCTAAAAAAATAGATGGTTTGGATCGTTGAAAAAAAATTTATAGGATACCCTAAAAGGTGTCTCTCAAATTAAATTATTTGAGAGATCCCTCAATATATATATATATATATGTTTCGGAAATAATTTACTTTAAATCGTAATTTAATTGGTACCTCTACCTCCTGATCATCCAGAGATGGTATATTTGTAGGTGCATAATACTTCGCGGTTGCATGCTTAGAAGTTTCTTCTGTGCTACAAACCAACAGATTGAGATAATATTTTCTATCAGTGGAATGGAAGCCATGCATACAGATGAAAAAGCATACAGAGAAAAGAAAGCAATCTTTTACGACTGTCTTGTTTATTAGAGCTAGAGAGCTAGCTTAATTAGCCACTCTCTCTCCATCTGCTCGCACTTTAGTATTCGCATTTTGTGTTGATTGAAATAAAGTAGAATTCCCATGTGATATCAATTAAAATCCCCTTAATTATTTTTAAAAATTTCCATATCGTCTCCTTGCAAAACTAAATAAACAAATAAAAAAAGAAGAAGACGACCTCCTTTTGTATTATCTAACACTAAAAAGCTGCAAAAAGATTTAATATGCAAATTAATTAAGCAGCAGATGAGCAGTAATTCGTGTTTACCTTGAAGAATTTTCCCTGGAGTCCTTGTTATCTTGAACATGAATAGTCTGACCTAATGTATAAACCCACAACATTATTAATTTAACAGAAAAAGAAAAAGATTTAACAGGAGAAAAAAAATCATAATTGTAGAGGTAGAGGAATTACCATCCAAAGGCTTTCTCAAGATGTTGTTATCAGTGGCATTGGCGTTCATTCGGTTATTACTTAGTTTTGAACCACCTAAACACAGAAGAAATATGGCAGGCAAAAGGGATGCTTTGAAAGGATTATCAACATGCCGAAGGCAGTAAACATACTGAACTATACAGAAAATGCACTGTGAGATGCCAGCAACTAATCCATAAATGTCAGGAAGAGTACCAAAAAGCGTATTACGAGGAGGTGGATGATAAAACCACCAGAGCATTCCCCATCTCCTCAACACAACTCTTTCCTTTTTACCTCTGTAAGTTAGCTCCCAAATGGAAATGAGCACAGCTGCAATAGCCAACAGCATACCAAACAGTGCGTATTGGGATTTTCTTGGGGAGGAAGCCTGATCACAAGCAGCTGACAACATCTGTAGGCCAAGGATAGTGGCAAAAAATATCCACTCTGCTGATTCTGAAGTAGCCTATAGAAGAAAAGTAACTAGCTAATTATAAATTCAATTAAAGTTGTACGAGATATGGTTATGATCAAGTTTTGTGTGACCACCACTACCTTTATGGGCTCGTCATAGAGATTATGGTTGTGCGAGCTCATCCCTGAAACTCAAGGAGGGCCTGTAGAGATTACTACTAGGTGTTAAAGATGGCTCAGAAGAAGACTGATCTCCACGACGAGTATTTGCAAACCAGGAAACTAGTTGTTGCTCTCTCAATTTCCACAGCTAATAAGCAAGTGCTTTTCTTTGAGACATAAATACCTCTGTTTGGTTACTGAGAAAAGGAGGAATTTACATAGAAAAAGAAAGGAACTTTCCAAGACGGATCCTCTGCCTTTTTTTCTTTAATTATCTGATTTCCATCTTGCCCAAACTGAAAACAATGAGAAGAAGATGCTAGTGTTATGGGATTAGTGGAGAAGAGGTTTTAGTAAGGCAATAATGGATGAAAGAGAAAAGGGGAGAGCTTCTTGGAAAATCTCTTCCCAGGTAGCCCACACGGTTTGTCTTTCACTTTCAGGAGACAAGGGTTTGGTAAAGATATCAACAAAGCTAATGCTCAGAAGAAACAAATTTAATAGACAAGAAGCCGTGTTGAACCAATTCCCTTGTAAAGTGATAATCAACTTCCACGTGTTTTTGTTGAAATTAGTATGTTTATTTAAAAATAATTACCTTAAATTACTTTTATTTAACAATGTTATTAATGTATCATACAAATTATCGTTTGTTTTCCAAATTTACTCTTATTAAATGTATTAAATTTTATATTTCCTTTAATTTATCCAAAAAAAAATTAATAACTTTCTTATCACCTTATTTAATAAAAAGAAAACTTGAAGGAAAATATCTTCTTCTTTTTTTTTCAGAAAAAAAAAATCTGAGTAATAAAGCCCATAATTTTGTTGCACATAACAATTTTAGAAGAAAAACGTCACTTCAAGACCGCAACCAAGTAAACAGCAAAAAAATGACCTTTTTTTAATAAGGTGGTAAGGAAGTTATGAACAAATTTTTTTTTTGATAAGTTGAAAAAAATATAAAAGTCAATACATATAATAAAAGTAAATTTGGAAAATAAAAGATAGTTTGTATGATATGCTAATGACATAATTTTAAATGTAAGGAGAATGACACATATCATGATAAAAAAAAAAAAAGTCTAGAAACTCTCTCCCTAACCTTCTTTTTCTGTCGGATCAAAAAAAAAAAACAAACCTTCTTTTTCTGGTAAATGATGTGATATAAAAAAAATATGATATTTATTTTTCTGGTAAATGATGTGATATCATGTTTTGCACCAAAGAAACGATACACAGTCCTTTCTCTTTCCATGGCTGTTGTAGCTTGAAATGAATGACCAATTCAACGGTCCAGATTGAAATCAGTCTACCAAACATATGATCACAAGATGTTCACATCAACCAGGTAATCATGCAAGTGAAGTGAATCACACAGTAGCAGAGCTCTTTAAAAAAAATCAAAAAAGTAGGTAGCCACCAGCACATGCAGAGAGAGAGGCATGCAGACTGCAACGGCTCTACAACCACAAGACAGAAGCTGGTGGGCTCCACAAATGCGCCCCATTGCCTTCATTTTGATATTGGGAAAAAAAAATCAAAATCCTTATCTCCTCCACAGCACATACAAACCTCTCACAGCTTCTTCTGCAACTCTCTCCACCAATTACTTTACTTGGCCAAGAAATTAATTTCATATCATACAAACAATCATCACTCCATTAATTCTCGCTCTCTCTTCATTTCGACTTGTTGAAACTTTCTTGTTATTCCTAGACAGTCTTTCTCATATATGGCCTAACTTTTGGTGAAGGGTTCTGGAGGTTTTACCACAAATAAGCTGTTTCTGCTTTCTGGGAAAGCTTGCTGCTTGGATGACCTCAGGCATCTTCTGGCAGTTTTACAAGTGTTCTCGGTTGTGGGTAGTTTTTGTTTTGGTAAAGTAAAGAGTTGTGGGTTTTGTTGAATCTTCAAGGAAAGATCTCTCAGTGTCTCTCTGAGTGAGAAACATATAAGTTTGTGAGGTGGGTTTTTTTTTTCTCTGGAAGTAACAGATCAAGCTTGAGCAGAAAGAAAGAGATCAAGAGGAAGATGAAAATTCAGTGTGATGTGTGCGAGAAGGCTCCGGCGACGGTGATTTGTTGCGCCGACGAGGCAGCTCTGTGCGCCAAATGTGATGTTGAAGTGCACGCAGCAAATAAGCTTGCAAGCAAGCACCAGAGGCTTCTTCTAAATTGCCTCTCCAACAAGCTCCCTAGATGTGACATATGCCAAGTAATTAATTTCCACTTCCCACTTTCTTTGTATAAAATGTTATGTAATTTCCAATTTTCCTTTTCCATTTTTGTTGAGCTGAGTTTTTTTTTTTTTGGTCAAAATTGTTGAGCTGAGTTTTTTTTGTTTTTGGGTCAGAATTGTTTAGCTGAGTTTAACTTTACAAGTTCATTGTGTTAATATGTGTACTTGTGATAAATGTAAAGGGTGAGCTAGATTGAGATAGTTCTAAAGGTTAAAAACTTTGCTAATAAATGAATTACCCTCTCCAATACAATGTTAAAATTGTAACATCCAACATGAGAGGTTCCAATTAAGATAAGGCTATTAGCTCTAGACATGATTTTTGATGACCCTGCCATGGAGGACCTCATACTAGAATCTTAGATGCTTTGAGCATTATAGGTTTCCTTTGTTTGAAAGTTAAAGTGAACTATAGGAAATAGTGGCTAGTTGAAAGAAGTTAACATTTCTTTTGTACTCTCGATCAATAACAGATGGCACTTTACAAGGTTTGTAATACAAACTGCATGCCAAAAATTTGGTGTGCGCTCTAGACTTGGCGTCTCCACTAGATGTTGTATAACTAATAAGACTAATCAGGTGAACTTGAGAAATCTGCTGCTGATTGTCACATTGTTGCGTTGGGGTATTCGTACAACCTTGCAAAGTGGGTGTGGTGTCTGAATTATTCTCACATTGTTGAAACTGGGTTTCACCTAGGTACCTGCCCAAAATGAGAGGTCTTCCTAGTTCCCCTTTTTTCGCTGTAAATGATAGAAAAACCTAAACCCCATAGAGACAAATGATGCATTAACACCTTTAAAAAATCACAATGTGGTAAATATTGTTCATACAAAAGAAGTAATCTAAGAGAAATTTTCCAAGAGATTAGAGAGTAAATGAAAATCTCAGTGTTTGCAATGTGAGTCAGCTAATGGTTGAACAGGTGTGCAGCCTTGTGACTTCTAAGAATGTGGCTACTTCAATTTTAATAATGATTAATTGTTTGATTGATTCATAATCATGAATTTATTAATTGAGCTGGAACATAAATGCCTCTTGAGCACAAATGGTACAAACTGTTTTTTTTTTTTTCGTGGTTCAAGTCACGAAGAAGAAATGAGAAAAAATCTTATTGATGCATCGGAGAGCAGAGAAAGGCTAGGCAATTAACATAATAGAGAAAGTATCCCTCTGAAATTACTGGAGTAGAGTCTTAGGTTTACAGTAATTCAGGAAGTATTTATAATTTATGATCTTTCTTCATAATTAAACATAACATAGTCCAGATTAGATAGAGATGCTTCCACAGCTTCCTTAAGATGAGCAGAATCAGGGAAAGAAAGGTGGATAGGTCCTTCAAATAATCATAGGAGCCCGCAAGACAAGATTTCCTTCTTGAATTTTTTGAACAACATTTTAGCTTGCCCTTTGATTGATTTCTGCATTCTTGAAATCACCTTTCGTGGTCTCAACTACTAAGTGGACAAAAAGATGCTCATCTAAGACTTCTTGAATGATAATTAAGTTTTCCTTTTCAATCTGTCTTAGCATCACTGGATTCTGATGAGTTGTAAGCCTTTCTTAAACAATCTCTCTCTCTCTCTCTCTCTCTCACACACACGTCTTCTGATTGGCAGGATAAGGCAGCTTTTATATTCTGCGTTGAAGACAGAGCCCTCTTTTGTCAGGATTGTGATGAACCAATTCATTCAGCCAATAGCCTCTCTGCAAACCACCAGAGGTTCCTTGCCACTGGAATCCGAGTGGCATTGAGCTCCAGTTGTACTAAGGAAGCTGAAACAAGTAGCTTGGAGCCACCCGAGCGTAGCACACAGCAGATTTCAACAAAAATTTCAGCACCACAGGCTTCCGGCATCTCGTCACCTTGGGGCGTCGATGACTTACTTCAATTATCAGATTTTGAATCTTCTGACAAGGTTAGAAATCTGATAATTATTATTACTGTCTTTTCATGGAATGGAATGGTTTGAATGGAGAACTTAGGGATGAGGTTGAAGATATACCAGAACGGGGGAGGAATATAGACGTTTATCATTTATCTATGAAAATGATTGTGATAAGATAAATATGTAATTCATGCGAACTCGGTATATGAGACACAAATGTCTTGAACAAGGTGGATAATGTATTTGGAAAAGTCTCGTTGATAATTGGGTGGCATATACTGCTGTGTTAACATTGAAGCCTACTGTATGAAAGAAATATTCTAAAACTTATATATAACCTTGTGATAGGAATGATAAGTTTTGAGTTTTTAAGACTGTCAAGATAATTTAATTTTATAATGATTGTTCTAAATTGAGTTCATTTTTCTTTTCTATCCATGTTTTTTATATGATCGTTCATCGTGCACAACTTTCTGAATTTCGATAATTAAAAAAGTCTGGGTTGCTTTTGCTGCTTAAAAGAAGGTAATATGGATACCTCTAATAGGTCTTGGTTTAGTTGGTTTAAGCAATTCTTCGGTTAATACCTGATTAGAAGAAGATATATAAATTTGATGCCAACATTGATGATAGGCCATTTACTTTTTCTTTCATCTATTCATATGCTTAACAAATCTTGTCTGTGCTCACTTCAGAAAGAGTCACTTGAGTTTGGAGAGCTTGAATGGATAGCAGATATGGGTCTTTTTGGTGAGCAGTTTCCTCAGGAGGCCGTGGCAGCAGCTGAAGTTCCTCAGCTTCCAGCATCACAGCCAAGCAATTTTGCCTCATATAGACCCCCAAAATCGAACGGCCCATACAAGAAGCCTAGGATTGAAATCTCAGATGATGATGAGCATTTTACCGTTCCTGATCTTGGCATATTTTAGGCACGTATCAACTTGATGGTATTAGTTGATAGGTTGAATTATATATCTTCATACTAAGTACATATCCGTATGTATTTACGTAGGTATCTAAGAATGTATAATGCATTTTGGGAGATTTGCTTTTTTCTGTTGTCTTTTTCATTTGACCCATAAAATAAACATATGTAATTTTGCCTCCTTGGCTACAAGACCATATGGCACAAATATAATACCAAGTGACAGCAGTAGTTGGTGTTTATGAGCCATAAAACTGTTGAAATTTTAGGTCGCTTTCTTGAAGCTCTCCGGCTCTGCCTTTTACTTCATTTTTATGGAAGGCAAAATAGTGGTGGATGATTGCATTTGCCTTGCCTCAAATCTTAGGAAATTGCCACGTGGCTTTTGGGCTTTAATTGGCCAATTGCATCTTCTTGGGAATCTTGTATATGTTTTTAAATAAATTTCTTGGTAAGATGTGAAAAAGAAGGTATGGCGTAGCACCATCTTCCCTAGTTTGGCATAAACAATGAGAATACAAAAAGATCGTTCTCGGATAAAGTAAGGTTTAGGTTGGATGACCAAAGAGGAAACTAAATCCTCAAATACCAGCCAAGCTTTAAAGAAATGGATTTAAATTGATCCAAGTTCTTGGCATGCCCATGAGATTTAAGAAGAAAATCTTTTCTCATTCAAAGGGTCTTGCAAACCTTTTACCTTATAGCAAAAGCCCCATATAAGGAGGCATTTGGAAAACCAATTAAACCACCAAAATCCCAATTCCCAAATAAGCTAGCTCTTAGCTGTCTTTAGATTTGGGTAAGCTAATGCCTCCCTTCTGCTCCTTCTATCTACGTTATATAATTTTAATCACAGCAAGTTCTACTCAAGTACTCATCAATTCAGTAACTCTCGATTCTGATACTCATTTTCTCCGTGACATCAAATGTTCCGTTGATCCCAACTCCATCCCCCTAAATTCCTACCTTGGTACCTGGGAGGAATTTGCCATGGATCCATGCGAAGTACATCGGGCCAGTTCTGGGAATCTTGTGCAGTTTCCCTTTAGACAACTCCCCAAGCAGAATAATAGCAATTGAGCTTGATGGTGGTGGCTATGATGGGTTTATCACACCATCAATAGGGAACCTAACAGAGCTCACCATCATCAATCTAAACAAAAACCACTTTCGAGGACCTATCCCAGATTCCATTGCCAATCTAAAGAAGCTCACTAGAATTTCATTGTCCAACAATTTCCTCACAGGCAACATTCCCAGGGTACTGAATGCTCTCAAAAGGCTGGAATCTCTAGACATTTCTTTCAATGCACTTAGCGGCGCCATTCCTTCAAGCGTTGGTTGTTTAAGAAGCTTGACCTTCTTAAGCACATGTAGCAATGGATTCATATGCAGAATCCTTGACCTCTCAGGTTATGGCAGCTGAGGACATTAGATCTCAGCATAAACCAACTCTATGGAGGTATGCCAAATGTTCCATCAAGTTTGAGAACATTGATCCTGAGCCATAACATACTCTCAGGGCACCTTTCACAATTGAACAAGCTCAAACAACTGAGGTTGCTGGATGTAAGTGACAACAGGCTTTCAGGTCCCATTAACAGAGATCTTTTTACCTTGCCTAACATGGTTCAACTTAATGTTTCAATTAACCACTTCACCACATTAGAAGTTGTTAGATTTCTTGGACGGGAAACACAGCTTTCTGTGCTTGATGCCTAAGGAAATCAGTTGCGCAGACATTTGCCTCTCAATTTGGTCACTTTTCCAAATTTGACAATGATCAATGTTGATGCTCTTTTTGGGAGGGTCAACATAGATAGAGGTAGAATGATGGATGATGGGTGAAGGTGAGGACCTTCAGCATGTGTGTGAAGATTTGGGCAAACAATATATATAAAGAAGATGAGATATATGTGGTTCACCCTTAATGAATGGGCTATGTCCACGGAGAAGTATATTCTCATTATGATAATGTTTGTTTACATTTGTACAAGAGGATTAGACCCAAAGATAAAGGGAAGGAAGGCCAAGTCCTAAGGTACAAATCCCAAGAATCCAAGACCCAAGACCCCTTTCTAAGTAGAGAGTAGTATTCTTTTATAGGTGAGTAGGAGTCTCTATCTCTTGTAGTCTTCGAATGTGGGACTCCTCGCCTTGCTTAGATTTATGACTTCTCATAGCATGGCATGTGGATGATCTAGCCTCACTAGTTGCTCGGTCAGTTATGGTACCAACAGTAGTCTCTCAAGTTCGCGAGTAAAAAGGTACTTCTTGATTGAGGACTTGTAATTTTAAGTGCACTGGCCGAGTAACACCACAGTTCATCTTCCAAGCTGTATAGTGCACTACCCATAGTTCCCCAAGTCCCCTGGTAAGAAGGACATTAGAGGGAGGGAACTTGCACCAAAAAGCCAAGTGGTTTACAAGTCCCCATTTGGTTATGCAAGGGTGCCAAAGGGCATCATAGTACGCCAAAGGGCGGGGTGCCGAAGGTACAACACTTACATGTCGCAGATAAGGTGCTAAAGGTATAAGACTTTCATGTTGCAAGGAGATGTGCCTAGGCATGAGGGTGCCGAAGGCTCAAGGCGATGTGCCTAGGCACATGGGTGTCGAAGGCAAAGGGGGTTGCTGAAGGGGACACAAAGCTTGCATGTTGCAAGACAATATGGCCAGGCATGAGGGTGCCAAAAGTGATACAAAGCTTGCATGTCGCAGGGCGATATGGCTAGACATGAGAGTGCCTAAGGCAAAGAGGATGTCAAAGGGGACACAAAGCTTGCATGTTGCAAGGCAATGTGGCTAGACAAGAGGGTGCCGAAGGCAAAGAGGATGTCGAAGGGGACACAAAGCTTGCATGTTGCAAGGCAATGTAGCTAGGCACGAGGGTGCCGAAGGCAAAGGGGATGCCAAATGAGACACAAAGCTTGCATGTCATAAGACAATGTGGCTAGGCACGGGGTGCCAAAGGTGAAAGGGATGCCAAATGAGACACAAAATTTGCATGTCGCAAGGCAATGTGGCTAGGCACGGGGTGCCGAAGGTGAAGATGGTTACCAAATACACAAAACTTGCATGTCGCAAGGCAATGTGTTTAGGCACGGGGGTGCCGAAGGTGAAAGGGATGCTGAAAGCAACACAAAGCTTACATGTCGCAAGATGATGTGGCTAGGCACTGGGGTGCCGAAGGCAAAAGGGATACCGAAAATAACACAAAGCTTGCATGTCGCAAGGTGATGTGGCTAGGTATTGGCATAAAATTTGCGTGTCGCAAGGAAAATTGCTAAAGAGCATGAAACTTACGTGTCGCAAGGAAATTGCTGAAGCCAATAAATGCAAATGTTGCCTATGAGGCATGTGCCAAAGGCAATGTCGTATGCAGGGTTTTTTTTTTTTTTTAGCGTCTTGGGCCTCTGGTAGATTCGGCCCGACACTTGCCGTTCGGCAAGTAGGCCTAGTTGGGCTTTGTCAAGGCCTAGTTGGCCTCTGGTGTGAGTTCTGCATAGAAATAGAACTTGTCGTTCGGAATGAGGCTTCAGCAAGACTGGTTTGAAGCAATTTTAGTGAGGCCCCTTGGGTTGGAATATGGGTGATGTCTAGTCGTGAGGTAATGATGTTCCTTCAGCATAGAAACTGCCGTTCAACAGGGGTAATTTTGAAAAAAAAGAGGGCTCACCTCCGTAGCTTACGTCAGCAAGGGTGATTTTGGAAGGAGATTGCGTGCATCTCCGGCTTCAGCAAGGTAAAAAAAAAAGGAGGGCGCTAGCATCTCCACAACCTCTCCCTAGCCCTTGTCGTTCGACAAGGGTGATTTGAAAAAATTTTGAGGCCTCCTTGTTCTTCAGCACGACTGCTACCTTTCGAGCCCAGTGGTTTAGGGTGCTAGGCCTCAGGAGTTGCGGCAAGGGGATGCCTTTGGTGGTAAAAATAGCCTTGCTGTTCGGTAAGCTGGATTTGGAGGGGTCTGCTCGAGTATCAGCGCCTCCCTAGCACCATGAGTCTTTGTAGAGCGTCGAGGATGATCCAGTTTCGGTACGACCCTTGCCCATATGGTGGCTGAATGATCTCCATGTGTTCTCCATCTTCTTGCTCTTCATTGGCATCTCCAACCTTATTATCAACTTGTTTACCACTTCTCAAGATGTGTACTGCTTTAGCATGCTCTTGATGCCTTGGATTCACCTCTGTTTGGCTTGAAAATGTTCCGGATGCTCTATTGCTTAAAGAGGATGCAATCTGCCCAACTTGCACTTCTAGCTTGTTCACTGCATTTTGAAGATTCTGATTGGTTTGCATCTATTGCCCCATGAAATTCTTGAACATGTCTTGCAATTCTCCCATTTGGTCGCCCCTTTGCTCTTGCACTCGTTGGGGAGCTTACTGGAATTGCCTTTGTTGTATTTGAAATCCTAGGGGAGGTCCTTGAGATTGTTGCACAATTGAGTTATTGCTCCACTTGAAATTAGGATGATTTCTCCACCCCGGATTGTACGTGTTTGAGTAAGGATCATTATTAGGATTCCTTGCTTGAAGGGAATTTGCTTGTTCTAGCATGTGCTCTGCAAAAGATTGATCTTGAACTTCCACTTTGTTTCCTAGAGGGCCAGACACTGCCTGTTGAAGCAAAGAACACATAATATCAAGTTTTGCAGCAATCTCATTATTAATACTTACCGCAGAGACCACAGCTTTCATAGGAGCTCCTCTTCCTTTATTGTGGCTCCATTGTTGAGAGTTAGCACTCAAGGATTCAAAGAGAGTAAAAGCCTCATCTGCTGTTTTGTTCATCAGTCATTCTCCACTTGTTACATCTACCATCATCCTTTCAGAATTAAGCAAACCTTCATAGAAAGATTGCATTTGCATCCAACTCTCTATGTTGTGGTGTGGGCAAGAACATATCATCTCCTTGTACCTCTCCCAACTGTTTGTCTGTCACAAATCTCACGGCCTGGTGCTCCGGGCCGAGGGGATATGCGTCAACACGTGACGTTCTTCTTTTGGATGTGGTGCGGTTATGCGCGGGCGTGCCAGCACGGTCTACCGTGCATCAAGATGATGATGAGGTTCGGGTAGAAGATGGTTTAAATGTTGCGCCTGTTTTGCGTTCGACTCCTAATCAAACGATCATGGCCAAGAGAGGAACTGATCTCGGCCGTCAGGTTCGATCTACAAGGCCGTTTAGTGGTGGTATTGGTGGCGAGTTTTAGGTGGTGCTCCGGCGCGTTGCTCAAAGAGTGACGGTC